TGATATTTTTATCATAGACCGGGAAGTCTCAAGACTTATCAAAAGTCTTGACACTAAGAAGGCTACTAGTCCAGATAAAATTCCATTAGTTGTCTTTAAGAATATTAATGCTGAGTTATTCCTGATCTAAGTGATGCTATTTAACTACTGCTTGAAAAAGAAATCTTTCCCAAGTCTCTGGAAGGTGTCAAATGTATGCTTTGTTTTCAGGTGAGTGTCCACTTCCATCTCATCAGCCGCCTCACTGTCATTAAAAAAACTTTTTGAATCTATAATCAACAAGAAGGTTGTTGATCACTTCAGTAGGAACAACATCTTGAGCAACCAGTAGTACAGACTTCAACTGGCTCAGTCCACTACTGATATCTTAATTGACATTACTCAGAGAATTAGTGAGGCACTAAACAATAAATACATCTTTCAAAGAGCTTTGACAAGGTACGACATAGAGGATTGCTGCAGAAGCTCTCTCTCACTGAAGGAGTCTTCTCAATTATCATGTCCTTCCTAATGGGTAGGTCCCTGAAGGTGGTTGTTAATGGCCAGTCCTCTGAGATCCAAGTGATCAACACAAGCATTCCCCAAGGCTTGCTTCACAATCTAAAACTCTTTCTACTTTACATAAATGATCATTTGGGAATATCTATGCTGATGATACAACAGTATATGGGTGCACCTCCAAAACTCTAGATGACCAGAGTCTGGCAGCTGATCTCTCCTCTGTTCCAACGGCTCAGTGGGGGGAAAAATGGCTGGACATATTCAATGCATCAAAAACCAAACTAGTGACCTTCCATACTCTGAGTTTTCACCCACTGTAATGAATGGGTGTCCTGCAGGGGAAGCCCTATGCCTTGAATACTAGTTGCAATATAAGTTCAACTCAGACTTTATGGAACTCATATGTATGACCCATTGCTAAAGTGTAACACTCCAGTAAGTACCCGACTTCTGCTATTCTCTATTTTTACAAGAACCAGATCAGGCCTAAAATTAAGTAAAACTGTTATATATCTATCAAGACCTTTCAGTCTTGATAGAATCCAAAAGAGTCAACATAGCCTTGTGGGTGATGAATTATTTTCTACCCTATAACCTATTTCCCACAGACAAGACATTGCAAGCATTCACTACTTTATTGCTATTTCTGTGGAAAGTGTTCAGCTGAACTACATTCCTTAGTTCTACTAGTTCTAACCTTTACAGTTAAGACTCACCATGTCACAGACATTGTAATGAACCATTTGTATTCCATTAGTGAGATGTAAGTTCCACTTGAACAGCTTCTTCCCATGAACCACTGCTTTACAGAATCAACTCATGACTTTACTGATCACTACAATCTTAACCTGTTCAAGTTTAGAGTTAACCATTATCTTCTTCCCAACATATCCTCATAAACTGTATCTCTTACTCTGCTCTGTAATGCTTTATCTTGAATGACTCTTGAGCTTTGTTTAAAGTGAACATTATTGCAAAAAAAACAAAAAAAAAAAAACACCTTCTATGCATTATCTAAACAACCTGAATAAAATTATTGTTGTAACTTAGGGAAGGTTACTGAATAGAATAATCACATGAAGGTTGGTAATGAATGATAATACTTAGGACAAGAACACCAAATATGAGATTTGCCAGCGGTGTGTAAAAGTAGTAGTCAACTGCTAGAAGTGAGTCAAGTGAATTCTACAATGAATCTCCAACTGCAGGATATCACGTGGTCAGATGTGGCACAAGGCCGAATTTAATGTGGCGTATCTGAGTCCATAGGCTCAGCCTAAAATTTCCCATAGTCCCCGTATAAAACAGGGTTGGGTAGCTGTTTCCCGAAATGAGACTCTGCCCTTCAACATAGCCTCGTCTGGGGATCCTCTCAGCCTAGAGACAGAGAGTTTGACCAGCACAGCTGGAGACGAATCTTCAACTGCAGACCAACATACAGTATTTACTACTGTATTTATGTGAATGGGGACCTACCCATTATCATCTGTAGGTATGCTACAACAGTTATGATGAAAAGTAACTAAAAAGTAAGATGAAAGTTATGAATATACAAAAATGAATAATGATTTGAAAAGCTTTGTCTAAAAATTTATGGGATTTTTGTCTACTTTTATTTTTTTTTAATCAAATAAATAGAAAACATTTTTTGTTCCCTACTCAAAATACTTTACACTAAAAGTGAAACTGAATATATTTAAATTGTTAATATTAGGTTGTGTCATAATTTCTGGTTTTCTTTATCAACTTTATTCTTCAAAAAATAAAGCACAATTACATTTTATTCAATTATATATTCACCATTATTAGTAATGTCTCATTGACACTTATCAGGCATGTTTTTGATAATGTTTCATTAAAATTCATGTGAATTGAATGAATATATAGAGAAATTTGTGCCATTCATCAGCTGAAAGAATAATAAACCATGGAAAGCTTTTTTGTCTGTTTCTTTGTTCAGAACCTCATAGTAAAGCAAGCAGATAAATAAAATTAACAAGTGAATCCTGTCTGGATTTGAACAGGCAACCCCAAGGAAAGCAGGCATGTGACATTATCCAAATATTAAGTTAGGCAGAGTGCACAGATACTTCACTGATCATAGTATTCATTTTCATCTGCATGAGGGCGGTTTACAGACAGTGTCAAAAATTTGGAAAAGAAGTCCTTTCAATCTATTGAGTCATAAATAATTTCCGTTTTTGTTTCTTCAAAACACAAAGTACAATTATATTTTATTAAATTCTATATCCATTATTATTTGTAATGACTTTGTGCTTCTTCTCAGTCAGCTCATTGATAATTTTTGAGTAAAAATCTGCAGGTATCATACAAAAAAGTTTTTGACAAACTCTTCAATTTGGTTTTCATCAGAGAAAGTTTTCCTCATCAAATGCCTTGTAGAGCTCAAAAAAGTGATAATGGTGGTGCAAGATCAGCTGAATATGGTAGGCAGGCTAGAACAGAGTAACCAAGTTCCAAAATTTTGTCTTGTGTTATTCTATGGAACCTTGTGATGTCATGGAAAAAAACAATATTCTTCCTTTAATCCACTGTGTATGCTGCCATTGGCATGCAAATAACACATGGTAGTTAAGGCATGTTCCCAAAGATGCAAAACGTGTTGATTGACTGATTGTGTGGGGTTAACTCCACCTACTTTTCTGAAACTGCTACTAGGGGATGCTCTCTGGCACTTTAAATACTCTGTGATAATTTTTCATAGGTCTTCTTTTTCCACTTACACATCAACATGTAAGTCTCTTGCGGAAAAACGCGTTTTCCATTGGGAAACACAAACAAACCACACACACACACACATTTACTCACTTCACATACTTTGGACCAAAGAGGTTTTCACATTCTTTTGTTATGCACATAATTATCTTTATCACTTGTATATCTTTCTTGTTAAGACATCATTTGTTTGTACATACATTGGTTCTTGTTGTTTCTTTACATTTATTTATGTGGACTCACATACTGAGTCTGCCATTTTTTTTGTGGGTATTTCAGGAGACACCGGTTTTTCCCAACAGAAACACATGACATTACTAACTGCCTACAACAATTGCTTTTTTTTTTCTTTTTTACAGCTTATCAACCCTTTGTGGTTTATATAAAACTGAAATATATTTTGAATTGTAAGAATAATTTTTGTTTTTTTGCAGGTAAACACTTTTTTGGGAATAACAACAATTTTCCAGATACAAGTCCCACTATTTAACCCATAGCTGGGGAAGATGGTAAATTATTTACAATTTAACCTAACAGTTTGCGTCATATGAAGGGGAAGTTGTTTAATTGACCTAATTTGTTCTATTTGTATTGTGTCATAGTTAATGGAAACCCATTGTTTTTGTGTGTAGGTCAAATACTAGCCAAATTACCCACATCTTGCTGCATGTCACACATTATTTTTGTAAGAAAATGATGATTGAATTTAAATCATTGTTATAATTTGTGGAAAAAATGATGCATTTCAGTATTACTCAATGATCTTGCCAATGTGACCTCCATCTTCTGGCTTTCTCTTTCTATATTTTGAATAGCATATATATATATATATATATATTACTTCAAATGTTATTATAGTGGCTACTTCATATTTGAAATAGACACACGATTTTTATTATTAAACGGTGTGTATTATGTCTATTGGCCTGCACATTTGAGAAATCTTGAAAAGAAAGAAAGAAAACTGTCTTTCCCGTTAGGAGAAACCACCATCTGATCCAGTGGTGCTTAAACACTCGGCCATGAAGAATATGAGAGCAGAAATAGGGCGTCTATTTCAAATATGAGTATCCACCATAATAATATTTGAAGTATTAAAAAATATTGAATTAAAAATAAATCCATTATTTCTTTAGAAATGGGACACATATAACATATATTAAAGAAAAAGCAAAACCATTGATGGAACTAAGGGACAACTTGCCAAAACCTAAATCTCTTATCTTGATGAAATCTTGAACAAAAATGACTATAATGAAAAAAGGAAAAGAAAAAAAGCCTAAAGGAAAACCTAGCTACTCAGTAAAGGAAAGTGCTTGAAGCCTAGACAGGGCAAAAATGATTAACAATATTAAATCCTATGAAAGGATGGCCCTAGTCATAGCCCAAGTTTCACATGATCTTCAGATGACTTGAACATATATATATATATATATATATATATATATATATATGATCTAAGGGATTTGCAGTGTCAAAAAAAAATCAAAGTTTTAATATTTGCTTCACAAGCTGCCAAGCAAGTTGAAATGCCAAATATTTTTAGAAATTAAAAGAAAAAATTTTAAAAAAAGGAAAGAAAGAAATAAGCAACTACAAATAGTTTATGTTGGTTTCTTGGAAATGGTTTTGGAAATGTTAAAAAGATAAATTTAATGCCAAGCTGAATCCATAATGCCAAGCACCAAAAACAAATTTTCACTTGACAATCAGAGCAACCATTAAAATTGTAAGTAAAGCTGCCAGAGAGACTGAAATCCTACCATCCGTTCCATAGAACATTTGCATCCAGGATGCTGTAATGTGGGAAAATTTCTGACGAAAGAGCCCCGAGTAGATGGATTGTGTATTGCTTCCTTGAGAAACATCATTATTACCTATTATGAAGGGAAAAGACAAGGTGAAATAAAGAGGGGGGATTCTTTTAAACATGATCCAGATTTTTATTGTGCAGAAGAAAAGACAAAAAAAAAAAAAAAAAAAATCCATACTATCAGTTTTCAAAATAAGCGAGATTCTTTTCAGTTCTTATAGTCAATTAAAAATTGAATTAAAATTTCTATTTAATTTTTGTTGTGCAAAAAATTGATGTAACCATTCTATAGAGCCCCACATATACAAGAATTCTCTGTTCCTCACTATCAACTGATAAGTGTGGTTTGCACATAAAACTGACAACAGTGGAAACATTTTGAGAACATGTAAAGTTTATTACCTTTTATGTTTCACATACAAGCATATATATATATATATATATATATATATATATATATTTATATATATATAATCAAATCACATGCGTTGATAGTCTGGGTGTTTGTTTCTAAGAACTGAACTGCTGCACCCCATATGTCAAGTATGTGTATATATATGTGTGTGTGTGTGTGTGTGTGTGTGTGTGTATATATATATATATATATATATATACACATACACACACAGAGACAGACAGACACTGAAGTTATGGCGTGAAGATTGCATTCAAGCAAGAAACAAACAGTTGACGGTCAGTGTTGTGTTCAGTGTGCACTTTTTTTTTTTTATATACACTCTATCCCTCATATTGACCACTTTTACCAATAAATATAGCATACTTTAAAACTATATTTTCATCATATATATATCAGGTCATCCCATAAGTTCTGTCCGAATTTTGAATAAAGAAAACAAGTGAACAAATGTTACATTTAATTACAGATTCAATCAACAATGTATTTTCCCTGATTATCTATGACTTCCTTCCATCTATTAACAAGCTTGCTATTTCCATTACTGTAAAATTCTTTTGGCTTTGATTCAAAGAATTCACAAATGTCAGTTTTAACCTCTTCCTGTATTACAAAAGCTGTTTCTTCCATATGATTCTGTAAGCTACGAAACAAATGGTAGTCTGAAGGAGCAAGATCAGGAGAATAAGGTGGATGAGGAATTTTCTCACAACCAAGTTCTTCGATCTTTTGTGACGTGATTCTTGCTGTGTGGGATCATGCATTGTCCTGATGAAACATCACCTCTTTTCGATTCACTAGAGCAGGTCTTTTTTTCCTCAAAGCTTGGTTCAAATGCTCTAATTGCTGACAGTATATTTGAGCATTAATTGTTGCATTAGGTGGTAAGAATTCAAAGTGGATTATTCCTTGGCAATCCCACCAGATTGAAAGAAGAACCTTTTGCCCATGAAGTTCCCTTCTCAGCTGTGGCTGGGGTCCTTCCTCATTACCAAGCCACTGTCTACGACGCTTAACATTTCGATAAAAGATCCATTTTTCATCACCAGTCACAAGTCTATCCAAAAAAGGTGAAACAAGTTGGCGAGAATGGAGAGAAGAGCAGATGTCAACTCGGGATTTGAGGTTGTTTTCAGACAATTCATGAGGCACCCATTTTCCAAGTTTAGGAACTTTTCCAAGTTGTTGAAGATGATGATGAACAGTTGTATGGTTTGAACTGAGAACCACTGCCAATTCCTCAACTGATAAAGCAGGATTTTCTTCAAGGGCTGCTTCAAGAATCTTTTCATCAAACTCAACTGGACGTCCGGTTCGATCTTCATCTTCAAGGGTGAAATCTCCACCTCTGAATTTTGCAAACCATCTTCTGCAAGTTCTTTCATCCACACATTCCTCTCCATAAACTGAGTGAATGTTTCTAACCGCTTCGGCTGCTGAGTTTCCTTTCTTGAATTCATAAAGCATTATGTGCCTCAAATGATTCTTGGGTACTTCCATGTTAGCAGGGTTTTAATCAAACAAAATTTAATTTTATTGTTCTCTGAAATAAAATTTGATCAGTTTAAATGCATCTAAACATAAAAATAATGTTAAGCTCCATTCGACATTATAAAATACTCTTTAAATTTTGTTCATTTTAACAAAAAGTTAAAATTCAGACAGAACTTATGGGATGGCCTGATATATATATATATATATATATATATATATATATATATATATATGTCTGTCACACACACGCACACACTCACTCACTCACATATAAAATGGTGGGTTCTTTTGTTGGGACAGGAGTGAGATTCATTTTGCACAAAGCAATGTAGGTCCTGCCTAATAGATAATCTCTTGTCAAAATGATTTGAGGCAAGGTTTCACCAGGTTGGATGTTCTTCTTGACATCCAACTCAGACTCATGATAGTCTAAGTACATCAAGTGTTTTTATCAAGACTCCATCTCCAGAAAGGTTGCCATTCAAATATTGAGATCACATCCTATCTTTATACAGAGTGCAATGGGTAAATTGTCGCCATTTTATATTTTTAATTTCATTCATGCACATTGTTTTTTAATTTTGTCAACTGCATAGTATAGTATGATCAGTTGGGCACTGTCTGCAAGAAAAACAGCACCATGATTCACTCCACCAGAAATTTGGAAATGGCATGCTGTACTGCTTAGCATTCATGCTGGAAGTTCCAATACAAACATTTCGAAGTGTTTGGGTGTCAGAGGATTTGGAAAGAGCCTGATGAGTCTAATTGTGATTACAAAGGTATGCCAGCTCAGAAAACTCACTCTGATCATTCTGATATGAAAATAACTCCCAAATTTTTGGGGGAGGACCTCAGACTCAATACAGAGGCCTACATCAAGTGCTTTGAGAAGGTAGTGCTGCCCTGGGTCAAGAGTGACTACTGGAAGATCCTCTGGCAACAGGACTCTGCACCATGCCACACAAGCAGGAGAACCAAGTCATGGCTGTCAGTCAATTTCTGCGACCACATCACTCCTTACATCTGGCCACTTAACTTTCCAGATTGCTACCTCCTTGATTATTATGTGTGGGACGCAGTTGAGCAAAAGATCAACAAAACTCCTTGTAATACCAAAGATGAACTGAAGGCAAGGATTATGATAGCATTCACCAACTTAAACAAAGAGACCATCCAGTAGAGTTGCAGGAGATTCCAAAGTCATCTGGAGGCTGTGGTTAAAACCAATGGCGATTTTATAGAATAAATTTACTCTTTAATATTTTAAGATACTTTTGTGTAATTTTGATATATCTGTTAAAAGAGATATCAGTGTTATTTTCAATTTTGCATAATTTAGACGACAAATTATCCATCACACCACATATATGAAAAATTTCTCAGCATTAACCTGTAGAAAAAGAGAATATGTATAAAGGTAAAAGACAACAGAAAAACTGTATAGGAAGTGTGTCAGCTAATAATACAGTTTTCCTCCTCTTGTCTTTTACCTATATATATATATATATATATATATATATATATATATATGTATGTATATGTTTCTTGTATTATGTGATCTCCTGTCTTTGTCTACAAAAATACTTGTTTATAATTTGTGTAAAATGCAGTTTCTATTTTACTATGCATGGAATGTAGAAAATACTCAGATTTTAATTAGTGTGATGCAGCATCTTGAGACAATTCTTGTAGCTCTGTTTTTGGTTGATTAAAAGAAGACAAAGATGAGGGATTCTGCACCCCTCAAAAGAGAAAGTCTCTTGCATCTATTTCAGTCAAATCAGACAATTTTTTAAAAAAATCCATTCATTTCTGTTCAAGTTAGAAGTGCATGAATTTCCAAATTTGTTTATAACTTTGTAATTTTTTTCTGATTTTATTTTCATTCCCTTTCAGAATCTTATTAATCAAAAATACACAAGAACCATCTTTGTTGACACCCACCCCGGATTTCTTTGCATGGGGTTTCATAAAAACAAAGGTTTATTGCCAAAAAAATCAATAGTTTAGCTTAACTTAAAGAACACATTCAGTCAGCAGTACAGGAGGAGATAACTCCTGAAATACTTCAAAATGTGTTTCGCAGTGCGAAGGATAGATTTGAAATTTGCAGGGACACAGACAAAGCACATGTTGAAAATTTTCACTAAAATTTGACATAAGATTTACAAATCTGTTTGTTTTGTATCATAATTAAGTGAAAAATATAAAATTGCATCAGTTTTTAAAAATTTCATTGACTAGTTAATTCTGGGACTATATATATATATATATATATATATATATATATATATATATACTTATATCACATGATATAAGAAACAAATACATTAATACTGCTTTGTCACATATTAATGATTTTATGAATCCCAGTTTTATAATTGACCTCAAAGGATGATCAAAATTAACATTTATCAATGAATAGTTACATAGTTTTTTTTACACAAGACTTACCTTGTTGGATACTATTAGAACATTGGTCGCTGTCTCCTTTTGCAGCAACTTTTCCTTGATCAGTAGTCAATGGCTCATTTGCCGGAGTCTCGCTTTCTTTAGCTTTCTTCATGGATTCTCTTTTAGATGTTCTTTCAATGGGTACACCACTTGGCTCCACCTTCGGCACATTATCTTTAGTCTGCTCTGTCAATTCAGTTTTGCCTTTATTGTCTGCATGCTCACTAATGTCTGTCATTGACAACTGTTCAACTTTATTTTCGAGAGAACTTCCTGAGGTTACTTGGCTTTTGCTAGCATTTTCTGCCTCTGGAACTTGGTCCCCAGTCTGCGAGTTTTGAAGATTTTCACCAGGTTCATTGAAGACAAAGGCATTGCCTGATTCTTCATTTTGACTTGACTGTACTGCCTGCATCACCTGGGCTAATTTCTTTGTGGTATCCATGTATTCTGGCTCATCACTTTGTTTGCTTGTGGCAAACTTGAAAATACCTTTGCCACAATAAACCTCAGCTTTTGCAATTTCTGTATTGTCAGACTCATTCCTACAGCAAGAGAAGAAAAACAACATTTCTATTAAAAAGAAAATATTCCTATTAAAATATACTAACACAGTTGTCATTATTTCAATAATATTACTTGTCATATGTCAGTAATTTAATGTCGGGAATATACTTTTAGCTATCTTGGAGCTTCATGCCCTCAATGAACAGAATGTCAAACGGACAGTTTTTCCATTGACATTGCTATTATTTTAACTACTTTCATTTCTTGGCAATGTTTGTTGTTTTAAAAAGAGATGAATAGAATTGTAACAAAACCTAAACATATAATGAAAGTGAATTTATGCATTTTTTTTGTTCTTGAGAATTTACCACAATTAAACACAATTTATTAGATCGTTTATTTACAAGAATAATTTTATAAAACTAATACAATGCAATATTTACTATTTATCAATTTTATAAGGAAATAAATATGAAAACAATTTTTTATTCATAAATTTATAAACATTTACAAAATTATTAAAATATGTGAACTAACTAAGAAAATCCTTATTATTTGCCATTTTATAAAGTTTGAATCAAATGTCAATTAGACAATGTTTTGCCAACCATTTCAATAAATAATATAATAGAGTAAATAAATAATCTAATAAACAAATAGTGTTTATTATTTTTCTTGTACAATTCTAATCATTGCTTTTTAAAACAATAAACATTGACAAAGAATGAAGGTAGTTAAAATAATAACAGTTTTAATGGAAAAACAGTACCTTTGATACTCTTTTTTTGTGGACATGAAGGTTCATACTAGCTATACTTTCAATGTTTTGCATAATATCAAGTGTTATCAGATGACTGCAACAGTTAGGACCATGCTGTTCAAGAAGTCATGAAGAGTAATTTTATTTAATCTATGGAGGTTTTGATTCCACTGTCCATGTCTAGAGATACTTTGTTCTTTTTATTACTGGTCATCTATTGTTTGGCCTAACTCTCTACTATTAGCATTAACCAACCCAGGGGTTGAACTCACAATTAATAACAAATAGCCTAGTGGATTAAAGCATAGGTTCATAAATTTGGTGACATTGTAATTGTGAGTTCAATCCCTGGGCTGGATAGTACAGACTTAGACTCATTGAAAACAGGTGCAAACAATAATTGAGCAGTACTAAATAAAACAAAATATCCCTAGACAGGGTCAGCTAGATGAGACCAATCTACTCCTGTAAATTAAATAAAGAGTTCAGTTCAAATTTACCTGAAAATTACAGATTAACAAATATCGTCTGTCTGATTATTGTCCTCATCTTTATTGTTGTTAAATATTTTTTTTACTAATATTTCTTTAATTTTATTTCTTTTTCATTTTTTTTTTTTTGTAATTCTCAAGCTGTGATTTTTTTGGTTGTTAATTTGAAATCAGAAAATAAACACTCTTACTAAAGGTCCATTATTTCTGAAACACTACTTACCAACAATAGAACAATAATCTGAATATTGCAATAAAAAGCAACTGAAATTATGATGAAAGAAATACTAGACAAAAATTAATAATAAACTGTTACATTTTTTTGTCTGAATTTGTGGGATGAGGAGTTATTATTACGGTCAGACTATATTGTCCTAATCTCTGTTGTTGTTGTTGTTGTTATTATCACAACATTTTGACTGTTGTACCCTCTGACCTTCTTCAGGTTTCTCTTGATTCAGGTAACCTTTGAGAAATTCTGAACTGAACTCTTTATTTAATCTAAATGAGTATATTTTTCTAATTCTGCTGTCCATATCCAGAGATCAGTCTTGTTCAATCCTTGCACGGAGTAGCTCAGACTTAGATACAGTGAAAACTAGGCGAGCAATAACCAAGCAGTATGAAATAAGATAAAATTTCCTTAGACAGGGTTAGTAGAATGAGAACAATCTAAGCCTGTAAATTAAATAAAGGGTTCAGTTCAAAATTACCTAAAGATTATCCAGATTAACAAATACTGAAAGACGGTCAAAGCACAATGGCTGAAATATAATAACAACAAAGACGAGGATAATAGACTGAGAATAAATCATGACAACTCCTTAGTCCAGAAATTTGAACAAAAATTAGACTGTTAATGTAACAATAGCTTAGTCAAATTAAACAATCTTCTTGAGAGATTGACTCAGTTGTATTACTTCCTGCAAAATACACATTATTTTGGTTTAGTGGAATGAACAGCAGCTACATGACAAATTAATAAAAGTACAAAACAACAGAAGAATTAACTAATACAAGTTATCTCCCCTCACTGCAAAGGCAGCATGACAACAGTATACACACACTGGATTGAATAATAGAGTCGATTTAAAATTCCAAGATTACCAAATATGACCAACAACAACCAAAATGTGAATACCAGTTCAAATAATTCAGTTCGTAATTTTTCTCTTAAGTTTAAAGTAAAAGGTTACATACGCTTGTCCTTTTATTTTCATTGTTTTCAGGTCTCTGTAAATAGCAGCACTGATTATTGTTTCCATGGCAGCCACCATACCGTACTTCTCACTGCCGTGTTCTATTACCAGAGGGTCGTGGACACTGGGATCGAACATGATTGCATTTGGAGTCACAATCAGTGTCCCATTCACAACTCCCTGCAAGAGAATGGAAACATTAGAATTAAAATCCAATTGAAAACAAATGAAATTTATTACACATTTTGATGAGGTTTTCTTACATCTTTTTGTTGCTTCTCATAACAGTTGTGGCTTTCCATAGCTTCCTTTTTCTTTAATATCTGCAAATTGTCTTCTCTTGGAAATGGTAGTGGAGTGATTTTCTATTGCTGTCTCTGTGGTTTTAAATTCAGAGAAATAATATCCTAGAGTAGTGTTTCTCAATGCAGATGGTAACACAACATTGGGGGTGCTATGCATTTGCAAAGAATATTAGTTTGCAGAATATTAGTTTTAACATTCAAAATGAATGAATGCCAAGCAAACAGTGATTTGGAATATTTTTTATTTTATGAATACAAATTGTATCCTTCTGGTGAGACAACATTCATAGCTTACAGTGTGTTGGTACAGAGAGAAAGAGAGAGGCTGCTCTTCCTTTGTACCAGGCAGTCATCCTGATGAGTTCTTTGTTGGCTAGAGAGGAATGGACCTGCCTGTCCCCAGCTCTGACAAAAGAGTAGAGAGAACTAAACTACAAAGCCCTCTTTTCTTGTGTTTATACTGAAGTCGGTAAGTGAATGCCTGTAGGATTGTCCTTTGTTTTGGTACAGGGTTTTTGATGTTTTGTTTTGCATATCCAAGTATCTGATTTCAGAAAGTTCACCAGCCATTAAGAGTGCTGGTGTTAATGTTAATGAGGTGTTAAGAAGATGATAAGTAGGTGGTACTTTTCAGGTGATTTTATAAGAAATATCTTTATTTTATTTATTAAACAATCTACTACTACATGTTCTCAAGAGGGTAGTATGTATTCAGAGAAGTTAGGGTGCACTATAATTTTTAACAGGGCAGTAAGAGGATTTAACCTTTTGAACCCTGATAGGGCCAAGACACAAAACTTCTGTTTATCAGTTTGTTCATATATCTTGATTTTAGACATAATTTTAAACACTTAGCTGCAATTGCAATATATACGTAGAGTAGCTTGTCATGTCTGACTAGATGAGTGCCAATTGGCTGTTCCTGTTGTAGCTTACTTCCAGAGATTGATGCTGCTATAATACAACAAAACAGAAACACGTGATATTAACTTTGTTGTATCAACTCTGCTCCATTTACCAGGGCAATTTTAATATAATGTGTGCCAACCTGCACAAATATCTGAAAACAGGAATTGTAGAAGAAAAGGTTAGGAATCATGGTCCTGATTACCATGGAGAGCCCAGACCACCCTGTTATTTAATATAGGGGTAGTAGAAGTGATTGATTTATGCCTTTCACAAAGGCAAAGTGAACATAAGATTTAATTTGAACTTGAATATTCCACACTGATATACATTACACAACTGATGACGCAAGTGATGAGGGTAGAATTATACATAGATGCTCACCCTTTTAAAGGGTGACAATAGGTGTAACAGTTTTTTAGTTATTATTGGCAATTCTATATATTTTATATTACTACAAACATTGAGAATCAATGATCAAGGATATTATTATTATGGAAACAACTTCACTACCATTTCCAAGAAATTAAGGAAATTCATGGATATTAAATAAAAGGAAGTTATAGAGAGCCAAATATTTTTAATTCATGTGGCTTCAGAATTTAGGCAATCATGAATCTCCATAGATTCCTTTTCTTTTCACAAATTGTCAGGACTTATTGGGAAAGATAGCAACAGTGGTTTCCCACTGCATACTCCACGTTTTTTAAAAAAATTCAGAGTAATCTTTCTTTTAAACTTGCTGTCAGTCAAGGCTAGAAATTCCATGTACTCTACTATTTAAGCTATAGCATATGGAAGGAAGAGGAGAATAGATGGGTTCATTCCTTTTCCAAGGTCAATAGTGCAAAGTGAACAGACTCGGCCAGAGTTTGAACTTCACTCACCTATTCTACTTTCTACACTGATAACTGTTACATTACCTACACAGCCACTTTAAAATCAAAAGAAGAATCTGCAATGTCATTAGTCCTGACCTGGCATCTCAGCTTTAGTCATTTTCCATAATTGTTATGTAGCTTCCCTGTGCTTTTTCTATAAATATTAGATGATAGACAATAATGATTGACATATTCGCCTATCTTCCTAATTCCTGTTCCTTTATTGTTTTCTCTCTTTAATAATGTTTTTCTCTCAGATTCTTTCACACTCAGTAATCCCTTACATCTTAATGGCTTTATCATCTTGCTTGGGATGAAATGATAAATAAAGAAACAAGAAAAATCAAAGCAACATGAAATTTATGATATTTTCCAAGTTCAATGCATTTGTAAAACTCCTGAAATATTACCCTCATTCTTTGAGCGTACAAGTAAACAAGTTACCAAAGTTAAATGCTGACAATCAAATATCTACCTGACCATCTGTGATGTGTTTAGCATCAAACTTCAGGAATCTACTGACACATTCTTCATCAAGCTTACGAGCTTCTTCTTCTGTTATTCGCCGTGGTGGGTCTGTAATTTCTACTACCTCTTTAGGGGATGTCACAGAAGAGAGACGTTCGGCATGACCAGGCACCTTGGAAGATGCTTTGTCTGGGGCAGAAACATCCTGAATAATGAAACAAGAAAAAGCAATTTTATTCCAAGTAATTTAACAAAACAAAGCAAAATTTTATCTCAACAACATGAAACTTTGTAGATTTTAGTTTTTGACTTTTATGTTAGTTGCAAAGTGATTCACCATTCTCATCTCCAGACAGTTTCCCCACAGAGAAAATAAATTCCATTCAGTAATTAAGACTAATGTTTCACAAGCCTTCTGAAGAAGTCTCTCTCATTCATATATTTTTACTTGCTTTATCATGATGGTTTCCCATGGCCTAAAAGGTAGGGCACACTTTGGCTTAAAAAATGGATTCTCTGAAGATAGGTTCAATTCCTGGCAGGATGAACCTTCTATTTTAGTAGGACTTCTTGATCTCTTAACTAGTTGATATTAATTTCTCTGTTCAAAAATAACAGGGATGTCTTCACAAACATGTGTGTCTATTAAATATAAAAGGTATAGTAATAAAAAAGTAAGTCTGCATTATTAAAAAGAATAGATGTTTAGTATCTATTTGATTTAGTTTCCAAAAAATAATGAGACAATCCACTTTTTAAAGCACATTACCCCATCCCCCTTATGACTATTGTGTTTTGAAAGCTTGGTTCAACATTAGATAGATTTTGGCCAATTTATCCAAACACAACAACCACATTTGTGAAATAATATTCATGTACAGTAGACAAAAATGTCTATAGTTTTTAACAATACATGTTTAAAATAACCATTTTTAAGTATACCATTATATATATATATATATATATATATATATATATATATATATATATATATATATATATATATATGCTCTGAATATTGCTGCCACATATGGTCTGGTGTTCCTGCTATATATTTAGAGATTCTTCATAAAATCCAAAGAAGATATGCAATGTTATTGGTCTTGTATAAGTGCATGTATGTTTTTCATGTGTGCATACATGTAATACAGGTAATTTAATCTTAGGGAATTATATTAGGAATTTTTACTATTATATGGTAAATTCTAAATCTTTCACTGAGTTCTGAACATTTTTTAAAATATCCTTAACCAAACACTATTTTTAAGATAAATTTATAAAAGTTTGTTAAATGGAATATATATATACATCAGGTTCTTAACCAGTAAGTGACACACAGGCAGTGTTGCTTAACTCCCATTGACTTAACAATATTTTCATTCAACCTCTAAATCAAAATGTAACATTGTAGCCTATGTCATATTAAATAGGTCAACTCAAACCTTAAAACCTACTGAGAATAAATCCTCAGGTCTTCTCTCCCCCCTTCAGCCACCATTACATGTTCATAATTTTGAATCTTTCCTTTTCTTTTTTTCTCTCTCTCCCTCAATAGAATGTTTGTATTTCTTGAATTTAATTGGGAGTAATTTTTTCCGTTTATATTTGGCTTGCAGGTCTGAAAGATTGAAGGCTACTTTTACAGCTTTCATGAAATAATGTCCAGCTGCAGATTACTACTGTATTTTCTCAGATGACCATTAAATATGGCCTTTTCTGTCTCCCCCAATCTTTCTCACATTTATACACGTGTAAGTCCACCTCATCACTCAGGGTATAACCCTGGGGAAAGTCATGATTGTCTAAATTCTGAAGCAACACATTTAGACATTTAGAACAATACAGAAATATAGTAAATGTTTTGATTTCAGACCTGGGTCATTTTAGTTTACATGATAAAAATCAATCTGATATTCTTTATAAGTTCTGCCATGTAGAAAAATCTTTAGAATATAAAGCTTCCATTTTGTTTTAAGCATTAAAAAAAACTTTAATAATCCTTCAGCTCAAAGACTTTGTTATTTCAAAGTTGGTTCACAAAAGAGAACTAAGCAGACATTCATGGGTTTTGAGCATTTGAAGGATTTTCAGGTTAATTACAGAACCATATTAATGTTATTTGTATTTAAAAGAAAGATTACAACAAAGCTTGCACATTTCAGTATGGTTTTCAGTCAAGAGCCAAAATTCCTGAATTGAGGGTGCAATATTTTTAATTTCTGAACAGGGATTGCTTTGCTGATTGTTTTGGTTGATAAGCGAAAAGTTTGAGAGGAGAAACTTTTAGCATGGAGCTAACGATTACATCTGGCAATTTCAACAGTAAAATGGTGGGACCTAGCTGCCAATCTAGTACACTCATCAAGTCCTGTAAATGTAGATCAATTAAATTTGTTCATTTTTTAACTTTATATTTGTCATGAGTATAAATCACTTTTTCCAAGAGAGACCACTGATGTAAGATGCAGTGCAGCATGTTAAGCACGCACAATAGAGCCACATGAATATATGTAGTTTCTGAGATCCTTGAATGATTTCCAGCTCAAGTTATGGAACTGTATTAATGTTATTTTTACTTAAGAGGAAGATTAAAACAAAACCTTTATATTTCTAATTAAAAAATAGGGGTATATGGCCAACTTCCATCAAATCAAGGAGAACCTATTTTCCATGTTTAGACATTTCAAATGACAGTGAACTATTAAATGGCTTGAATTGAGCTTTTAAACTAATTCCTCAACAGTAACAATTGCAATTCTATCAGAGACTCATACAAAAGCAGATCACTGTTACTATAGGCTGAGCTAATTATGGCAAAAGTTTGATACTGTACTCATTCTTTCTAAATATTTCACACCACTTTTGGATAAATGCTTTCAGGCTTAATTTCAGTGATTGTAACAAGAACTGGTATTTCAATGTGATATGGCTGTAAGCCTATGGAATACATAAAATGAGTTTAGAAATGTTAATGTTACAGAAGGAGTATCTGTCTATATTTCTGAAATGAGGTATTATGTACATTATTTACATTATTCAGATTATTCTCCTCATCATTGTTGCCATATTTATTACGTTTTGGCCATTGTACACTCCAGCTTTCTTCAGGTGGTTGGAATGTCAAACTGAACCCTTTATTTCGCTCACTGGGATAGACTGTTCTAGTTCCACATGCCATGTTTAATGGATGTCAGTTATCAGTTATCTCCTGTTAATTCCCCTCTCCAAGTTCTCCACTGCCTTAACCAGGTATTGAACTCACACTCTTTGGGTCCTGTCACTGTATCTAACTAATGCTTTATCCACTGTGCCATGTGTCATTGAGGAGCTCAAAATATTCATGATGTTTATAGGATAGATACGCTGGTCAATACTTAGATGATACCAAGTGCTGTAATTTGGGATGTGCAGGTAGTATAATGGTTAATGGCTTGGAATTGGAGCTCAGAATCATGTTCCAATTTCATTCACATTTGTTATATTTACACACACAAATACCCTTGGGAAAGGTATGAATCCACCTCTTCTCCTCCAGCTATGGGTTAATTAGTAGGACTTGTATCAGTAAATCATTATTATCTCCAAAAATTATCAGAATCTAAAAATATTTTCTGGCATTAAATAACCTGCAAAAGGTTGATAAGCTGTCAAAACAAATCAATCCTGTGTTCCAAAAATATGTCTAGTATTAAGAGGGTCAAATAGAATTGTATTGTGATAACAAAACTTGTTTGAAATTGTACAAATACATATGAGCATGTTCAAGTATTTTAGAAAAGTCAAAACATCATTCAATCTTTTGCTATTAGATTCTGGACATTAATTATAGGCTGACCTGATATGAAGATTTGCTATACAAGGTTTTCTGTTTGCTTTTCAAACAATTGTTACACAAATTTATTTTGACAGGCCTAGTAAACAATCACTAAGTTTTTATATACTTATTTAAAATAAAAAAAAAAAAATGTCACTGTGCTCTCCAGAATGCAAAATTTATGAAAACTAACAAAATGGCTTGATAGTATTAAAATTATAACTATCTCCTTATCAGAAGCATTTAGGAAGGAATTATCGCCTTTTTATCAGGAGCTTTTCACTGTTGAACTTCAAAGAAATAATGTGACTAAGCCAGATTTTCAAAATTATCTTTTCTTGCCATTTTAAATATTTCCAGAACTGACTGCATGCAATCTCAAAGATACTTTACTGCAAATGCTATGTTTAATAAGTTGGCAATGAGATGCCTTTGAGTGAGTTTGTGTTGTGTAACCATTGTATTATTATTGTAGGAACCTTACTGTACATGTACAAACAAATACTCTCCAGTGGGGATAGTAAAATGTTATTTATTGAGTTTATGTATAGTGTGACTAATACATACACATTCATGAACCCTGAATTTTCACTTAATATGATGAATGGGTGTGGTCTCTCATGTAGACCCCATGCTTTGAGTGCATATTGGGATTTAAGCTCAATCCAAGTGGAATTTGTACATACAATCCCTTGCTAAAGATGCTAGAAAAATGGTTCCTTGTACCACTCCAGTAAGTACCTGACTCCTCCTACTATCCAGATCAGTACTGCTGCCATATATTGGCAGGAAATGACCAGTCTTCAATTTCCAGTTTCAATAGATTCCATAAGCATCTCAGCAGCTTTGTGGGTGATGAACTATTTTCCCATGGATGAAATGTTACAAGTCTTTCATTACTCTATCGCTATTTCCATGCAAAGTGTTCACCTGAACTACATTCCTTAGTTTCACCAGTTCTAACCTTGATGGTTAAGACTTACCATACCATGTACATTGGTGAGATTAAGTTCCATGAGAAGTTTCTTCCTACAAACTGCTGTTTTGTGGAACTGACTCCCATGAGGATGCTTCCCTGATCACTACACTCTTAACCTGTTCAAGTCTAAGGTTAACCATTATCTTCCTCCCATATCCCAATAAACTAAGCTGCTTACTCTGGGGCTCTCTACCTCAGGTGGCTCTTGGGCCTTGTACAGGGTGAACAACATTGTACAAGAAAATGAAAAAAAAAAGGTTCTGTCTTGTGAGGATTCTTTTTTTATTTTAGCAAAACACTGCATCACTTGGGTTTATCAGTGTCGTCTACAGTCCAGATTCAGATCTTAACAAATAGCCTTTGAAAGAAAGTAGATTTCTGACTGTAATGAGAATATGATGAAACAATTGAT